CGACCGGGCGCCAGGCGAACTAGACTGAAGCGCCGACCGGGCGCCAGGCGAACTAGACTGAAGCGCCGACCGGGCGCCAGGCGAACTAGACTGAAGCGCCGACCGGGCGCCAGGCGAACTAGACTGAAGCGCCGACCGGGCGCCAGGCGAACTAGACTGAAGCGCCGACCGGGCGCCAGGCGCACTAGATTGAAGGGCCTACCGGGCGCCAGGCGCACTAGACTGAAGGGCCGACCGGGCGCCAGGCGCACTAGACTGAAGGGCCGACCGGGTGCCAGGCGCACTAGACTGAAGGACCGACCGGGCGCCAAGCGCGCCGGACTGAAGGGCCAATTCAGGGCTCTGTTAAGGGGAACGCAGGTGCTCGAAAGATCGGGACAATTAAGTACCAGGTGTAAGATGAGTCTGGGAAGGTTATAGGCAGCAACGAGCCCACGCCCGGGAGGGGCTGAGCACCCCAGTGCCCGCGGTGGCTGTGCGGGGTGCTCAGCCCCTCTCAGCGGGGGGCTGGGTACAGAGGAGGGGGACGAGGCACGAGGGACGAAGGGCTTGGACTCCTGCTGCCTGGGCGGGGCACACGAGTCAGAGCGGTGCGCGGGCGCCGAGCGGGAGGCTGGCAAGTGGCTGCAGCCCAGAGCTGTTGGCGCGCGTCCCGCGAACCTATCCCAGGCTCTGGGCTGGCCGCTCTCTGCCCCTAGGACGACCGCACGCCAGCTACACCACGTGGGCTTGTTTCTGTTCACCGACTGGACGGCAGACCCTTTTGTGCAACAGGAGAGGCAACTGACAGCCATTTCAAAATGGCCGCCGATTTGCGCTTGTATTCACAGGAGCCCGGCGCCTCCCACACACATTCTTGTGCAAGCGGCTGTGGGAGGGGGAGGGGTGTAATGGCCACCAAAAATGAATACAGCCCGCCAGGGATGCTGCCGAATTGGACGCGCTGAAAAGCACGTCTGGGAACACTGTCTGCGTGTGCCCAGCCAGCTCAGGAAGAGGGAGATTTTTAACAGAGCGCAGCTCTTGAGGGACTGTTGAAGCCCCCCACGAATGGCATTGGGACAATGCAGCCCTGCCTCGCCATCCCCAGCAACGGAGGAGCATCCATGCGGGCCCACAGGCCATCAGCAATGCCTCCACCGCCCACCCAGGAGTCACAACCGCCTCCCAGCGTTGGAGCCAAGAGAATGAGCAGGAGCCAGCGATGGGGTGGGAGTTTGTTGCCGTACTTTGGCCAATGGGGACGGGTGATGCAGGTGGGGGACGGGTAGCTCAGTGGTTTGAGCATTGGCCTGCTAAACCCAGGGTTGTGAGCACAATCCTTGAGGAGGCCGATTGGGGGCAAAAATCTGTCAGGGATGGTACTTGGTCCTGCTGTGAAGGCAAGGGACTGGACTCGATGACCTTTCAAGGTCCCTTCCAGTTCTAGGAAATAGGCATCTCCATTCATATCTCAGGGTACGTCTAAACTACATGGCTCCATCGACAGAGCCATGTAGATTTGTTGTTTTGGCAAATGAAGCCGCGATTTGAATGATCGCGGCTTCATTTAAATTTACATGGCTGCCTCGCTGATCAGCTGTTTGTCCGCTCAGCGCGCTAGTCTGGACGCTCCCCTGCCGACATCAAAGCCCTTTGTCGGCAGCCCCAGTAAACCTCGTCCCACGAGGAATAACGGGGCTGCAGACAAAGGGCTTTGATGTCAGCAGGGGAGCGTCCAGACTAGCGCGCTGAGCGGACAAACAGCTGATCAGCGCGGCAGCCATGTAAATTTAAATGAAGCCGCGATCATTTAAATCGCGGCTTCATTTGCCTTTGCCTATGTGTCTAATCTACATGCCTCTGACGACAGAGGCATGTAGTCTAGACACAGCCTTATAGCGGAATGTGTCAAAACACGGGCGATTCCCAACCGTGTCCGACGTTATGGAGCTGGCAAAGCCTGTGAGGGGGGTTTGCATCGGGAAAGAGAGAAATGACGGGAGACAGAGGAGGCTGTGTTTTAAAGTAGCCGCGGGAGCTGAAGGCGATGCCGGCTTGCCTTAGGAGCGCAAGACCTGCGTCTCCATCATACTCTGCCAGCTGCCTTCACCTGACGCTGCAAACCATAAATTCAAAGCCCGATTCCAGTGACTCCAATTTCCCAGTCAGCCATAGAACAGGAAACAAATCAAACAGGTGAACGTTCCAAGGGCCCCCCGTGCTATTTAACTTCCATATAACTCACCCGGCAGGAAAAAGCACTCCTCAGCCTATTGTGAGCTGTGGAATCAATTGACCTGCTTTAGGACTCTTCAGAAGAGATGAACTTTTTCCCCCCCTCTCCCTTTTTCCAGATCACTGACTCAGCAAATTAGAACAAGAATATAATTTAGCAATACAGCGGATTTTGAAAGACACTGGTCCCGCCGACCCCCACCGCCCAAATAGATTTTTTGCCCCCTTCACTATTCATTCAGAGCTGATGCTAATTGAAAACTTGGAAGGTGGCTAAGAAAACAGCAAGTTCTCTCTTTTGGAAGACGTGAGAGGTTGTTGCATAGCAGCCTTGCAACCCGGCACAACGTCTTGCTGCCTCAATGGAGGCGAAGATGTTTTTAACCTTTCTCAGCTTCACAGGAGCAATCTCCAGCAGCTGGAAGAGGAGGAAAGCACATAGCCTGAGCAGTAGTCCAGCTACCAAAAAGGGACTGTGGATTACATGGAATAAACAGAGGACTTTGTTCACCGACCTCGGTCTGCAGCACAAAACACTCACTCATATTTTAGCCATTTTCTGCTCAAGACGCAGCGGGAAGAATCAGATCCCTCATATCCACACAGCTCTTCCAAGTCAAGGTTGAACCCTTAATATGCAAGGGCTTGCTTTTGTGGCTACCTACCTCGCTTTTCTGCTAAGACGTTAGAAAGCTCTACCCAGATCCCTGCACCAAACCACCACGTGGAAATCAGAAAACATCTCTGGTCAACAGAAGGCTTCCATGTGACAGATCTTCTAGGACTTCAAATTCAAGCGCGAAACTGGTCTGTGGCCCTTCTACAGAGGAACATCCAAAGCCCTGCTTGCCCGTGGGTAGATTTTATTCTAAAAAGCCAAAATGCCGAGACAGAGCCGTGGGAAGAGCATCTGATGACACAAAATGCCAACATCAAGGATTCCCCCAACCCCGGTCCCCGACTGTATTGGCCTTTCCTCATTTAAGGGAGGAATAGAGTAGTGGATAGCTGCATATATGCTGGCGTTAATAATAAAGCACAGTAATTCATTGCCATCTCTTGTCTGAAACGGGCCCAGAGGCACTGCAGGCTCCTAGCTCAGGCCTAACTTTTCACATAAATTCAGCTGAAGTTTACTGGGAACAACTCAGTTCTCACCTTGCTCTGCAAGGCTCTGGGTGAATTTCAGGCACGTCTGATACCTCGCTCCGCTTTGCCTTGCAGATGGGCTCCGGATTAAGAACCCATCTGCCCGGTAGTGGCGTTCCGTCAGGAATCAGCTGCACAACCCAGCGGGAGCTGAGGGACAGCTTTTTTCCAGTGCTCCAGTCTACTGTCCTCGCTTAGACAAAGCTCTCGCTCCTCTCAAAGGCTACATCTAGACTGGCACGATTTTACGGAAATGCTTTTAATGGAAAAGTTTTCCGTTAAAAGCATTTTCGGAACAGAGCGTCTAGATTGGCACGGATGCTTTTCCGCAAAAGCACTTTTTGCGGAAAAGCGTCCATGGCCAATCTAGACGCGCTTTTCCGCAAAAAAGCCCCGATCGCCATTTTCACGATCGGGGCTTTTTTGCGCAAAACAAATCTCAGCTGTCTACACTGGCCCTTTTGCGCAAAAGTTTTGTGCAAAAGGGACTTTTGCCCGAACGGGAGCAGCATAGTATTTCCTCAAAAAGCACTGATTTCTTACAGTAGGAAGTCTGTGCTTTTACGGAAGTTCAAGCGGCCAGTGTAGACAGCTGGCAAGAGTTTCCGGAAAAGCGGCTGATTTTCCAGAAAAACTGGCCAGTCCAGACACAGCCAATGAGTGTTTGCCCACGCAACGAGGAAGGACCCCATCCTGAAAGACGCAAAGCACCCTCCACGCTCACTGGATTCTGCCTGCTCACCGCAGCTCCCGGACACACCCAGCACTCTCCGAAACTGGACAGTGAGGAAGATTATAGGACCTGGCCCATAATGCAGATCTGATAAGGGGAAAGTCCCCTTTCCAGTTACACCAGTGTAAATCTGGAGTAACTCCTCTTTCCTCAGCGGATTCATGCTGGTGTAACCACGCTCAGCAGCTCGCCCCCAGGGAGCATAGGTCGTCTCCACTGGGCGTGTTTCCCAAAGGAAGTGATCGCACCAACTTTCAAGAGCTTGCTCCTTAACAATTTGTTCACTGCATGATCAGGTTCTTGGGAATTAACCAGCAGCCTGTTTCTTCCCTTCCAGAATCAGGGACAAACTAAGGCCGGCCGGCAGAACGCTAGTTTACAAAAACAGGGGTTTAATAGACTGATAATGGCAAGTTACTACCTGGAGATCTTCCCTGGGCCCGAGCCAAAATTTAGGGCCCGAGCCAAAACGCACTGCTGTCCATGGAAAGACTACCCCTGACTTCAGTAGGTTTTGGATCATCTGCTTCCTGGCTCAGGAATTGTACTAAGCAATGGCTAGCTAGCTGGCAGGAGGAGTTGGGAGACATGCCCCAGGCTATACCAGAGAGGGGTATTAAAACTCAAAAGCTCCTCCGGGCGGCCGCAGAAAAGATACAAATCTACAGAGGGTTGTAATCATCATGGCAAGACCTAGTTCGGGTGACATTACAGCTAATTACTAATCAGAATACAGTCGATCAACATGGGGGGAGGGGGAATCACTGACAATCTGTGTGTGACGCTAAAGGCAAGACTTGCTAAGAGAGAGGGAAAAGCCCCTGGATTTTATCATCGCTACCAACATCCGAAGGCGAGTCGCCCAAGAGAAAGGTTAGGCCGTCGGACTACAGCCAGTTACCTCCAGCGCTGCAGACGGCTTCTTTTTGAGTTCCTCACATTTTCGAAATTTGCAAATCTGGTGACCAGTTTTGCGATTCCTACAACTGCTGCACTGCTCGCAGTTTATCCGTCTTCGGCACGGCGGGCACATGCCACATCTTTTCCGTTTCTTCTTCCCAGAATTGATGGCAGATGCCAATTCATTCTGCATCGGGTACTCTGCCAAGCCAGCCATATGGAGCGCGCTCTCTGCCAGAAACACGCCAGCAGGGGTCATAATGAAGAGGCCTGGGTTTATGGGAAAAGCCCCCAGGTAGGGAAAATCAGATGGGTTGTTCATTGTCTCTGCAGCTGCGACCGCTTCCATATCAGAGATACCAGTCCCGTGGTCATGCGGTAAGGGAATGTGCTCCTGGACCGCTCTTTTGAGCATCTCTGTCGACTGAGCAAACTGTTGTAGGCTGATCTGTCCTTCTGAGGAGATTTCTGACGCCCTGTCTGATTTGCTCAGCATATTCGAGATGCTTTTGTGCTTTGAGGTAGAGTGACTTTTATCCACAGTTGCTGCTTCGTTGCCATTAGGTAAGGAGGCGCCTTTCTCCGAGTGTTCGCTTAGCGAGCTGCTGCTGCTGAAGGTGGAGTAGTGGGAGAGCGGACGCGACTTCTTAAGACTTTTGTTCAAAGGTTCACTTATGATCCCGCTTTTGTTCCTCCTCTCGGAGCTGGCGGGGGGCTGCGAGTCCTCTTGGTTATTTCTGTCCAACGCGTTGGGCTTCTTACCAGCCTCTTGAGGGGCACCAGGATTAGACATGGTGTTCAAAAACCCAGAGCCGAGCCAAGAAACCACACCCCACTCACCGCGGCAACCAACCAACCAACCAACCGCCAAAAAATGAAATAATTGTAATCAACGGGGAGCTCCTTCCAGCGGGGCGGCTGCAGGGGTCTTCAGGGGGGCGTCAGCGTAGGGACATACCATGCGGCGCCAGTACAAACCATGCAGCTCTGGAAGTAGAAAACAACAGGCAATTAGTCGTGCCCCAGGCCACGGCGCTTTCCAAAGCCGCTCGCTGGCTCCCTGCAATGGAACCCTCAGCACCATCCACACCGAACGACGGGGCGAGGACCCAGGCTGGATCCGTCACTCGGCTCTGCCATGCCTACAGGTCACCCTCACGGACTGCAGAGGAACTGGCCCGGCCTGGCCGAGTAGCCCTGCGCTGCTAAAGCTCCAGCCGTTTGATCCCCGTCTCCCGCGGGTGGAAATGAGCAGGAAGCCCCCAAAGCCAGTGGCTGAGCTGTGTTCGGCACAGCCCCACGACGCAAGGGAAGGTGGCTGTAAGTCACCATTGTGCTGCCCTGATTCCGGACCTGCTGGCCCGGTCCCTGGAGCACCCTTGCCTCTATTTCCCTCCAGCAGCCATCCCCGGTGCCAAGGATCTAGTCAGACACTGGGGCGTCTTGTCCAGGCCCCTTGCCAGGGCCGCCCCGAGGATTCAAGGGGTCTGGGGCAAAGCAATTTCGGGGGCCCCTCCCTGTCTCAGACCTCAGACTTCAGATGTTCTCATGGGGGCCCCTATGGGACCCGGGGCAAATTGCCCCCCCTCTGGGCAGCCCTGCCCCTTGCCCCTAGCCACACACTCAGGCAGACCGATTTCTCCTCAGGCCGGGCTTGCAGTTGCCGGGTGCTGTGAGGAGAGAACCGGGCCCCGGCGCTCTAATTTGTTTTCCCCGTCTCGGGAATTCTTTTTCCTTCGTCTCACCCAGCTCAGGCAGCGTCTAAACGGGTCAGTGGGTTTCCAGCCTGCTCGCCGGCCTGCCCTCAGTGCCAGCCTGGGTCACCGCATTGCCGCGGGGGGCCCAAGTCCGAGCACGCGCCCGCTGACGGAGAGAGGGAGGAGGAGCCGCTCGGAGCCACGACCCATTCTACGGGGGTGCGCGCGTGTGGCGGGGCGGAGCAGGCTGGTGTAACCTGCCCCCACAGGCAGGAAGTCAGGGCCCGGCGTGGCTGCAGGGAGACTCCTGCGTGCGGCGCCCACCCCTGCCCCCAGCGCACACACAGACAAAGCCAGATGTCCTGACGCCCACCCGGCCAGCAGGCTGCGGGGCCACTCTGCTTCCTGACCTGGGAGGTCGGCACGGACCCTCTCAGGGCCTTGGTCGCTGGCAGGCCCAGCGGCTCCCCCCGCATAGGGCGGGGCTGCCCCCCGCCTCTGCGGTGCCCATGGGGGGTGATGACTTGTCCAGCTGCTCTGCCGATGCCTCAGAGCCTCGCAGCCCAGCCCATCTGGCATCACGCGGTGGCGTCTCCTCGGCCTTAAACCAGCACGCCCAGTCCCAGCGCCAAGAGCCGCAGCTGCGTTATCTGCCTGGCACGCTCCGCGCTGCTCGCCTGCGGGGCTGCCCCCCGCCTCTGCGGTGCCCATGGGGGGTGATGACTTGTCCAGCTGCTCTGCCGATGCCTCAGAGCCTCGCAGCCCAGCCCATCTGGCATCACGCGGTGGCGTCTCCTCGGCCTTAAACCAGCACGCCCAGTCCCAGCGCCAAGAGCCGCAGCTGCGTTATCTGCCTGGCACGCTCCGCGCTGCTCGCCTCTCCGGCACCCCACCCTTTCTTCTAGGTGCGAGCGCCTGCCCGGCCTGACCCAGCTACAGGGGCCCACGCGGCTCCCCGGGCCTGCTGCGATGGAAGGGGAGAGGCTTGCAAACAGGCTCGCCCCACAGCGTGTGAGCTGCCGCCAACAGACAGCCACTCGGACAGGGCTGGCGCAGCTCCCCGGCCAGCGCTGTGTCTCCGGCCAGGGTCAGTGTGCTGGGAGGCCACGCTGCAGGGAAGGGGCCAGCTCCCGTCTCGCCCCCCTGAGGGAAATGGCTCCACTGACAAGAGAAACGGTCCTGCCCCGTTACTCGTCTCCCTTCCTTCAGCGCCTGCATGTTGGAATGTAGCATGCAGCCCCCCCACCCAGAGGTCACCCCAGGGGTCGGTGCTGGACTGTCCCCTTGCCCCTTCCCCCATGCTAGCAAATCAAGGGGGATCCCCGCTAGCAGGAGAGGGGGCCCTGAGACACGGCTAAGATGCAGGATATTAGCATGGCTGCGAGTCCTAGTCCCCTGCCCTCGCGGCAGGTCCAAGCACTGTCTAGACCTGTGCATCACGCCCCCTTTTAGATTTCTGAGAAACCCTCATGCCCCCCTCCCAAAAATATCAGCAAAAAAAAAAAAAAAGGAAGTGAACAGGGCAGCAAAACTTGATGGTAGGGGGCTGGAATGCCTCATACCCCCCCCCCCCGGAATTTCTTCATGCCCCCCAGTTTGGGAACCCATGGTCTAGCCCATCCCTACAGGTGTCTGTCTAACCTGCCCTTATATATCTCCAGAGACGGGGATTCCACAACCCCCCCAGGCAATTGATTCCAGTGTCTAACCCCCCTGCCAGGCAGCCTAAAGCTCCCTTGGTGCAGCTTAACAATGACAGGCCAACCCAGGTGAGCTGGTGTAGCCCCACTGGCGGCCAAAGAGAGCCGCGACAGAAAAGCCAGGGAGAGCTGGTGAAAGGCTGCCCACGGGGCTGGAGTCGGGGATCTGACACCGAGTCCCCGTCTCCCATGCGGCACTCCGGGGTGTCCCACCTTTCGTGCACAAACGCCTGCAACTGGCAGCCCTGGGGCCCTGCGGGGCGCGAAGCAGGAAAAGCATTTAACAAGAGGATGTGAGATAAAGTCCCCGGGCTGCCTTATCTGACACCCTCCTGTGACTGCTTTTCCTGCT